TTTGATACTCCCTTCGTCCCATTAGAAGGTTCCCACTTTCCTTTATTGGACGTCCCATATAAAGGTTCTCATTTCCATTGTAGGAAACAATTAACAATCTTAAGCGACAAATTGATCATTAAATATTAAAAATAATACATTTATAACATCACAATTATCAATGCTAACTACATTATAATATATACCTATTAACATTATTTATCAAAATATACTCGAAGTACTTTATTTAATTATTGTCTAAGTCATCGTGCCGTTTTGCTATGGGAACCTTCAATTCCAACAGGACGGAGGTAGTACATGACTATTGTGTTTTTGCCTGTATATGGTCCTTCCGGCATTGTTTCCGATGGTTAAATTTGCCGGAAAATGACTACAAACGGTTAAAAACATTAATCAAGTACCAAAATTAGACAAAGTGAAAGATGTGGACTAAAGGTGGAATTGACACAAAACTCGTAGGACAAAAGGTGGAATTATTCGTTAGTGAATGACCAGATCTCAAACATCCAGAGGTCAAACGTATAGAGGAAGAACGACCATCAGCCTGAATGTTGATCCACAAGTCAAAGATCCACAAGTTAAACATCCATAAGCCAAGCCTCCCGAGTCGAACCTCTCCGGCCAAACCCGAACTTCTCTATAAAGCGCAAGCCTCTTGAACCAATCCCACCTTCAATGCAGAACCGTGTATGGACAACATATGATATACGATGACAATAAGGGTACACCTCTCTACCCAAAAATCACATGTCATGCATGCAGTGCACTCATACACTCATCTACTTCATTCATTCATCATTTCATACATGTAACACTCTGAGTCCCATTGCATATGACATAGAATCATATGGAGGTCTATTGGCTATTGCAACCAGACTTGGGTCTCGTCTCACCTTGTTAGTTATAGAGGAGGGAGAAAGAACAGAGGAGAGACTCCTTTGCATGCTCTAGCAGGAGGGAGAGCATCCTACCATCTTGCTCCATTCAAAAGGGCTAAATCCCACCAGAGTCAGAACAATGTAAAGATACATACTCATGGAAGACAGGGAAGAGCAGGAGCTAGAGTATAATTTCTCGAGTGGTTTCACACGCTTACTACTCATGAAACTGAGGGACGTGTGTTGGGTATATATTTCTCCTAGCCTATCAACATTTTTGGAAACCCAATATATTAGCCCATCTTGTAGCCTTATAGTTAGGCCCATTTACGGCTCGTTAGGGTATAAATGTACTCCCTCCCCTTGATGTAGTAAAGTTTGTTGGTTCAAAGAGACGTTAAGTAAAATAACGGAGAGCTGACGTGGAAAGAGCTAGAAACGGAATAACACAAGGCAATCACATTAAATGCTAAGTTATCTGTTACACAAACGTCCAAGCTAGTGATTGGAAAGAGCTAGTGACTGGTCATGACTAAGGGCGTGAGCATTAAAGGTCACCTTCTTCCTCCAATGAGAAGAAGACAATCCAATACAAGAAGAAGCAATGTTATAAGAACAAAGAGAAAAAAACCACAAGAGATACAACATCGATACACGTATATGAAGAATTTTACCTAAATTCAAACCAAGACCATCGATAGAAAGAGTATATTGGAATATCTTCAAAAACCAATCTTCAAAGTTGTTTAAGGTTCTTTAAACACTCCGTGATCTTCAAATCTATGTCAAATCAATTAGAGAAGGTGGGTGAAAACCTTTTCATTCGAAGTACTACTTCTTGTAAAGTAAGGATGCCAAAGTAACTGGTGTGAAGTGATGATACTTCATTTCCAGGAGTCTAGTGAAAAAGCCAGATATCAAGAAAGTTGTTTGCACCCTCAGGTGACAAGGAAAGTCTATCATTGAGAAGATGTGGAGTGTTTCTTAAGTGATAGGAGGAAACTAGTGAAAAGTGGACTAGAGGAACATGTTGTTCCTTGAGCTACAATAAAAAACCATGGTGTCCTTTACTTTATTGCACTAGGATTCGATTTCCCAATGATGTGAACTCTAACTTCTTACGGATTTCACTCGGTGAAAGTTGAGGGCAAATCTCCGTGATAATGTTTTTAGGCTTCCTGTGATCGATCTCTATTAAATCCTCTGCACGACTAAATCTGACTAGATTTAGTCTAACTTTGTGAGAAAAACATATTTTTTCATTTGGAAAGTTTCTGAAAATAGTTTATTCACCCCCTCTAGATTGTTTCTCCACATACTAGTATATCACCCGTGTAGTGCACAATGTGAGATATTTCAGAAAGAATTATTAATAGGTCAACTTTTATCATTGTCTAAAGTACAATTATCACAAATAGGAAACATAAAATAATCTATATTCTGTAATATATGTTTGCCAAGTCTTTTTAATATAAATTATGTATTATTATGCAATCTCATAAAATCGTCCATATCTGTAACAGCAATACACCAGTGTCAACTTTCAAGGTTAGTCTATGAGTTGGTACTCAAGAGTCTCTTGATAGTCTAATGCTATTTGAGAGCTCTCGTGTCTACAAATTGTCCATAAAACCATTAATTGAACCTAGTTTACACACATGTACAAATATATATATTTTAGATGTGTTAGTTATAAAAAGTGTTCGTTGACATACTTGTTGAAATACAATGGCATATGTATTAAAACAGTAGGATAAATTTGATGTATATATTAATGAAAGCCTAATATCTAAAAAGTATGAGAAATTGGATTTTCCTCTTCAAAAAACATGCTTAACAAAAAACTAAAGTATTTAACTTCAAACATTTAACGTTTTTAATGTATTAATATTAAGAAATCATATAACATTTTCACACATGAAGTATAATTCATTTATGCTTAATATCAAAACTTAATATTAAAAAAAATCAAAATTAATTGAATACTCATGTAAAAAAACACTGCACACTACTCCTTTGGGAGTACTTAGATTGTCATGACACTTTCAATTTCATTAAGCTTACTCTCTTTTTTAAACCAAGAAATAAATCAATAAAATTAATGGGGTAAGGGTTAGACATCACTTTTTGTATATTTAATCAACTTCTTCATATTATGAATGGTTTCAATTGAAATAAAAATTTCTAATCAAATCTGGTTTTGTATGGTGTGATATGGAACTCAATATTTCTTTAAACATCTAAGAACATAATTCGTCTCCTATTTTTTCAACTTTAAAATCTTATCTTTCTACTTTTTCATCTTATGTCTCATTCATTTCTATCTTTCTCTCGTACTTTTTCACAGTTTTTTATACTCTGTATATGCATTACTCCTACTATATCAATATAAACTCTAAATAAATGAATAACATCACAAATATTTAAATGCTAAGAGTAATAAATTTCTATTTAAACTGATATTGATTTTGGACACCCATGTATATTTTAATAGAATTAGAGTATTAAGGAGAGGAGGGAGATATCCTGTGAACCATAAATTCTTTGTCATAAAAGAAAAAAAAAAGAGTTTATATATTTTAGATGTGTTAGTAATAAAAAGTGTTCGGTGAACATACTTGTTTAAATACAATGGCATATGTATTAAAAAGTAGGATAAATTTGATGTATATATTAATGAAAGCCTAATATCTAAAATGTATGAGAAATTGGATTTTCCTCTTCAAAAAACACGCTTAACAAAAAACTAAAGTATTTAACTTCAAACATTTAACGATTTTAATGTATTAATATTAAGAAATCATATAACATTTTCACACATGAAGTATAATTCATTTATGCTTAATATCAAATCTTAATTATTAAAAAATATCAAAATTAATTGAATACTCATGTAAAAAAACATTGCACACTACTCCTTTGGGAGTACTTAGATCGTCATGACACTTTCAATTTCATTAAACTTCCTCTCTCCTTTTTAACCAAAAATAAATCAATAAAATTAATGGGGTAATGTTAGACATCACTTTTGGTATATTTACTCCACTTCTTAATGGTTTCAATTGGAATAAAAATTTCTAATCAAATCTGGTTTTGTGTGGTGTGATATGGAACTCAATATTTCTTCAAACATCTAAGAACATAATACGTCTCCTGTTTTTTTCAACTTTAAAATCTTATCTTTCTACTTTTTCATCTTATGTCTCATTCATTTCTATTTTTTTCTCGTACTTTTTCACAGTTTTTTATACTCTCTATATGCATTACTCCTACTATATCAATATAAACTCTAAATAAATGAATAAAATCACAAATATTTAAATGCTAAGAGTATGAAATTTCCATTTAAACTGATATTGATTTTGGACACCCATGTATATTTTAATAGAATTAGAGTATTAAGGAGAGGAGGTAGATATCTTGTGAATCATAAATTCTTTGTCATAAAAGAAAAAAAGAGTTTACATTGGGACGAAAGAAAAAGAAAGGAATGAAATTTATTTTGGGATGGAGGAATTAATCTAGTCTTTATGTTTGTGAACTGCATTATGCGAGAGCTTGCTACAATCCTTTACAATCCACAAAAATATCACAGGGACTTTTTAGCTAGAGTACCGTAGCAAAAAAATTGTTACTTTTAAATTAGAGATGATATGTTGTCTTGTCTTATGTATATTATAAGAGTAGTTTAAAAAAATCTTTTGCTTTTGATGTGATTCATTAAGAAAAGTTTATAGAGAATGTATATTTTATTGTTTTTTATATAGACATTTTTAGCGAAAGAGTGCTCCATCAAATCCCTTTCGCTTTTAGATATTAAGAGATTTATCCGGGACCAAAAATCTAAAATTGGATGCAATTGGTATCATGTATGACCAACCTACGATATGAATTTTAGTTCGCAACTAAAAAGTTAAAGTGCACAAACAACAAACCATATAAAGGTCATGGTTGTTAGATTTCAATCCAACGTTGAAAGTGCACAATAACAACGAGAAATGAGCTTTTCAAAATGTTCTTGTCAAGTACAAAAATTATGTCTTCCCGAGAGAGTATAATTGTATCATTTGTATGCATCTCATAACACAAAACAAAAATATACAGACGGTAGTTCCAAAAGAGTTTAGAGTCGACTAATATGAATTGATTTATAACATTGAAACTTAAGTTCAAAGAGAATTTGGGTCAAGCTAACATGAGACTACCTATGAAATCGGAGCTAAAAGGAAAAAAATAAGATAAGATAAAAAAATAAAAAGATATGATAAAGACGAAAAAAGATAAACATAAGAAAGATAGAAAAAACTATCACTACTCCGAGACCTATGAAGTGTAGCGCGCACTTGCACATTTGACACGACGCCATGTGGAGAAATGACATGTCTTTTCTTGAAAATAAAAAGAAAAGTTTTCTCTAGAGTCATCCTTTTACCATTGAAACGTGAGCATACAACACAATGTATATACAATTGCAGCCAGACAACATTTACAAAGACATTCTATAACATGAATAACGAATCAAAGAATGAGGTATCAAATGCGGGATTGGTAAAAAAACTCATTGCCGCTTTCTTCTCATCAATTGATGTGACCAAGCTATCAAGAATGTAATAAGGCCAACCCCGACGGATGCCCAGAAGACTACTAACCACTTGGGCATTGGCTCAGGAAACAATCCTAAAAAGAAGATAAATAAATTGGTACCAAAAGTTTGAAAAGAAGATATTTGATTGGGATAACTTAGATGCAGGGAACATACCATGTCCAAACTTTATGCACATTAGGAATTCAACAATACATATAGCAAGGGACAGCCAACAAAATGATCCCACCTTTTTTACCGAGTTTCTGCAAAAGAAAAATGTATGCAAGGAGTGAGAGAACAATAGTACGTCCAAAAAATGGTAACATGGTTAATGATATTTTTTGTCCATAAAAAATAGTCCTTTTTCAGTATTGAAAAATATACCTGTCCTGCAGGTAAGTATTGTACTCGCGAATGGTCGGTATTGCAATTAGCCACCATAAGACTAATCTGTATACGACAAGAGGGTTTCTTGGAGGTATCCACAGGCAAAACTTGAGGAAGAATGTGTTCAACTCAACAGTCAAGAATACAACACAAAGACTCAGAACTTGAAGAAACCGCCAAGGACCAAGAAGTGGATGCCATTCGTCTTTGTCCCAACATGCTGGAGTAAATTGTCCCAGTGTTCGTTTCACCTAAAGCATTTATTTCAAAAATAAATCCAACAAAAAAAAAGGGGCTAATATTACTAATAATCCCCGAAGCGCAAGGACAAAAATCAATGGTAAAGTTTAAGAAATGCTTACTTTGCCTATAATGTTTGGCTGTTTGCTTATACCGACCCACTCATATGTTTTTCCATCAAAGTACCTAACGGTTTTCATCCCTGCCCATATACCTGTAGAGCACACTTTACATATTAGTATCATGTCAAACACTGGGCTAGCAAAATTCACCACATAATAGATTTATTACGCGGCATTTGGGTAGCATTGGCTCCCAAATCGTTATTTTAAGTAAACGCTCTTTCATTAATGTTTTGGATAATAATCTAAACACTCGTTACATCTTAACATAAGAAGATACAAAAATAACAAACAAGTTGTAGTGAAAAAATGGAATCTCACCAAACCAGTTGCAGATGATTACGTCAAGAACAATACTATCCCACCAGCACTCATTGAAATTTGGTAACATATGACGGAAGGTAAGCTGAAGTGAAGAACAAACAAATGGTCAGAGAAGTGTCTGAACATCAGTGTATAAGCCAAACAGCAGGTAGCCCAGATTTCTACCTCCATCAACTCAAAGCCAATTGATAAGACCCACAAAAGTGGCTGATTTCTAATCATTATGGCTTTTCCCCACCACCCAAGAATATGAGCCAGAACAAACTCATCAAACAAGGTATCCTACAAGGCAAGGCAATATATATCAGAAAGATGTAGACAGACAAGGGCATAAGTGGAAGAAGGAAATACACATTTACAAGGACTGTGAAAGTCGAAACATACATAAACATTCTTAAACTTGTTGGTTGTACTTTCAGATATGTAGATTCGGCAATCAACACCGTAGGATCTTTCAGGGAGTTCTGTACACAAAATAATTGCACTTAAAATTAAATACATATGTAAATAAAGATTGCTCTCTCTGGAAAAGACAAGTCAAGTTGCATGGATTGTCAACAAGAGATGAACATAAGGGTGACATAAAAATCCATTTATCCACCATCTATCCAGACCATCGGTAGGTTGAATCCATTCAATCCATCCTTTTAAAGTTAGTAATAATGGATCAGATATATCAAGACATCCATATTTATTGTATGGCAGATCATGAATAGTTACCCATCTGTTATTTTTTAAAATCCGCTGGATCACATTTAAAATGCTAAATTATTACTGTATGCATTCCTTAATTCTCATTAAAAAATCAAAGTAATAAGAAAATACATGGACCGGAAATCCATTCGTGAATATGTTGTCAATTATATGGATATATTGGATGGATTACATTAAATCGTTATGGATGGATTGGGGGGTTTTTATGGATCATAAATGGATTAATGGATTGCTTTCAGTCCTTTCATCCGTTATAATCCAAATAAAGATTTATCCAATCCATCTATTTTCCACAACTAAGATCATCTGATCCATGTCAAAGTGCAAGAGGATATGCCCAAATTTCTTACCAAATCCGAGATCAGGATGTAGATATTTCATAAACTGCCGAGCATCATCACGCTTCTGAAGGAAGAAGGAAATTATAAATAAATAAATAAATAAATAAATAAATAAATAAATAAATAAGTTGAATCGCGTTAATGGCAGACAGCAGTAAAGGTGATTAACAAGGTCAGACAAAGTGACAGAACGATCGGTTACAGTTTTCACAAAAGCAAGCAAAACCTAATCTCAAGAATAACTAACCTGAAAAAGAAAAAATGTTAACAAAACGAGGTAGATGACAGCCATTCCATGAACAAGGCGCCATATTGCAGGATGGGGTCTGGTAAGAACCCTGCAATGACATGTATTTGAATAATGTCATGGATTTAAGAAAATGCAAGAGTACATAATCAATCAGAATTAAAGTTAACAACTTACGTCGAAGGGGCTTGTAGTAAAGAGTATGCAAGATAAACTGCAACCATCGCCCATACTCCCCTAATAAAAATAAGAAAGCAACACTTTACATTCCTTAGAAACAATCATCATAACCTTAATCTCATTTGTTAAAAATAAGATTGAGTTAACTCAATCCTAAAATAGCTCTTGGGAGGAAATGATTGTCCAACACTTGCTACAGGGTATTCATAGTGGCGTGGAATCTATAGTGTCACTGCTATGGAGTATTCATAGTGGTGTGGAATTATACAAGTGGAATTACTACAGGGTATTCATAGTGGCGTGGAATTTATAGTGTCAATTAATTTAAAAAACCACAATAAAATATTATAAAGTGACACAAGTTTAATGCCAAGAGTCCATCATCATCATCATAGATTATTTCAAGTTACATGGAAAAAATTGGGGGGACAACTGAAAGAGAGGGCAAAAACCTATTCACAGAAACGGAACGATCACTTGTTGACATGCTTTCTGGATCTAGAGCTCCACTGGCCCAACTGAAACAATGTTGACATAAACAAATCAATATATTCAAGTGAAACATGCTTAATGTCAGAAACTTGCAAGGAAAACTACAACATTAATTAGCAGCATGTGAGAAAATGCAGACATCAAGAAAAACATCACTAAGAAGACAGATGTGTAGAGGAGAAGCATTATGTATCGCTTCAAGAGGAAACTTGAAGTTCTAACACAACCCTTGCAAGTACATTTGGTGTTTGAAAAATAATATGCCATTATGACGTGCCACTAACAGAATAAACTAACTGCAGCTTTTTATTAATCAAAAAAGAAGAAGACAGGGGATAAGATACCTCATTTTTAAAGATAGTATATGTTATACGTATTTAAATTGTAGAAGCGGGGAATCAAGGAAATGCCTTAAAATACTATTTGCTCCTTAACAAGCAAAGAATGTGCAATTCTGGGAGCATAAAAACATTAGTTTCGAATTGCAATACTCAGTATATAATAAAAATATATGGGGTTGACTACCTAATTTGATTGGAATCAATCTTCTAGTTCGATTTGATCAATATGCATGATGACCTAGTTACGCAACCCCGACTAATTATGAAATCTATCACGAAAGCATCTCTACATTATGTCAATGTGCAATCCAATTTTCTTGTGTGAAAAAACATGCATATTAAATTCTATGAAATGTATAAAATTGTTAAAGTAACTTCAAAAGGCATAAAGTAAAAAGTTCTATAATAACAACACAGACTAAAAAAGTAAACATACTGTGAAACCAAAGGAGATCAACCAACTCACATGAGAAAACATGCACCGATAAATAACAAAGTAATTGTATGCGGTTTGTATGCCCAAGAAGTCCATGGATCCAAATCATCAAGAGAACTTGTTATGCTCAATTGGCCGTTTTGGAAAGAAACAAAGCTCCTTTTGCCACCCCTTTTATGGCAATCAGGCTCCATAAGCCTACTCTACAGAAAATTCAACTGCTTGTCTACACACAAAACATTTCAGAATGTTAATGAGGCCGGTAGATCAAGTAAGAAAAAGATTACTACCGCAAAAATATCTAGCTAACATATGGAAAAAACAAAGCTCATAATTTTAAGGTATAATTAATTTCAAAATGCATACACCTTAGAGAGATTATCACTATCTATTTAGCAAGATTTAGTGCCCATTGAGGGATGTCTTACTTAGGATCTTCATATCACCCCCCTCATCAACCCATTTGGTTAATTCTTTGCCAAACACTAGCTTACTACTTATTTAACAGCTTTGGCTGGATGAATTAGTTGAAAATGTAAAATATATATAGTGCAGAGATAATGATGATGATTTATGTGAAAATTACAGTATTACACTTCTACACTCACTTTAAAAATTCTATTTAATTTGTCAAAGGAGTATCATATTTATTTTTTGCAAAAAATCAGCAACTTCAACCATTTCAACCACAATTTCAGCAAATTCAGAAACTTCATCCATTTTATCCAAATTAAGGGGGTGTTTGGTAAAGTTTATTTGGCTGACATTGCAGAATATGCTAATTTTTTCAAAAGAAAAATGTATGATATCATGCCAAAAAGAAAGTCAAAAGTTACTTTCTGGTGAAAAGGAGAATAAGCCGGTTATAGCTACCAAAGGGATTCTGGAAAGTGGAAGCGGGACAAAGGTGGTAGGCAACCACCATTAAAGAGCAAGCTGAAATAATTTGTTGTAGTTGACATCTATGCTTGAAACTTAAAAGTCTATATATGCTTTTAATGGACAAAAACCTTAATGAAAGTGCGTGATTAAATCAATTAATCACCCATGAGATTATCCAGAGTCCAGACAAAGTTTCCACAAAAAAGATAAAAAAAAAATTAGAGTCAGATCAAAGCAAAGAATTCGCCAGAACTCAAACTCTCGAACAAAGTGACCTTTCATCAAATATCAACCAGACAACTACAAGAACAAAAATTTTAAAATATCTCCCTTGCATGCCACCCAAAATCAACAAATTCAATCCAAAACCCACCTCAGACCACGTAATTCTTCCCTAAATCCACCCAATTTAGATAAGCAACCAAAACCCAGAATTCAGATTCCAAGAACAGCCGCCTAAGTACTATGTGGTGCATGCCCAGACCCACCACCACCTTAACCAGAGCCAAAGAAACAGACTTTCTCTGCTACGTATCAGACCCAGACACGAAAGTGTAACTCTACATTCCCACAATACACATGTACGTACGTACGGAATACGAAAGCACACTACGACGAGTATAATAAATGAGGATAAAAGTAAAAAAGAAGAGTGGACTTGCATTGGAACAGGCGAGCCGCGAGCGTACGATGGCAGAGAGAGATTAGAGTGGAGGTCGGATCAGACCCAGAGAGATACAGAGGGATGGATTGAGAAGAACCAAGAAATGGTTATTCTTGTTCTTGATAAACAAAGATGGGGGACGAAGCAGCTGAGCTGAAGGCTGAGGAATTGCACTTTCTGGACCTCTCCGAAAGCAAACCATACATGTAATTCAGGCGGGGGAATTTTAGAATGACAGAGAGACTGAGGGGAGAGAGAGAGGGGGGGTTTTATGTTTCAGATTTGTGTGCTTCTCTGCTCTGCCAGTTCACAACAGCTGCAGAGAGAGCAATGAATGTGTTGTCTGTATGTATAAGCCGGTCAAAAGGCCAGAGTGGTGTGGAGATTGTTAGGATTCCTTCTGCCACGGGATGTGATTATTGTTTATTTATAAGGACAATCATGAGGAAATCCAAATGAAAACCTAAAATATTTTGAGTAAATATGAGTAGTGGATTGTGAGTAAATGAAAGTGTGGTGGATTTGAGTCCTCTTAGGATTTGAGTAAAAAGTGTAGTGGACTGTGAGTAAATGAAAAAGTAAGAAAAAGAAAGTGGTAATGGAAACAAAAGTGTGGATATAAAGGTATTTTGATTGAAAAAACTTACCAAAAGGGAAAAAGGATAAATAATTAAAAATGTCCCCAAAAGGAATGGAAGAAAGAGGGAGTATTCAATTCAAGATTGATCATGTCTTAACCTTCTCTTTTTCCCACTAAACAAAAATAAAACCATTTCTAATTTTCTTTTAGAAAAGCATTTCGAATTAAATTATCTCAAAGCTCTACTCTTTGTCACACAGTAGCATGTTTTGTAGGAAAAGTTCATACTATTTAAAATTTGTAGTTTTTATACTTGTTGAGTCAAACCCACGTCTAAATCACTGTCCCTGTTAGTTACATTCGCTATTATCGACATAGTGACATGTTTAATTTTCGTTTAGTCACTTTATATAAACTCCTGACATTTTTATTTACCATATTTTCAGTGATATACATGCCATTATTTTGCATAGTACACTGTGTTATTAGTATATTAATAACACCGTAAAACCCCAATTTTCATTTAGAAAAATGTAAGCCAATTTCATCACTCATAAACTCTTTATTAAGAGTCGATTTGATAACACCTTTTCATTTTATTTGTCTTATCAATTAACATTTTTTCAAACATTAAATTTTAGTGTTACGTGTTAAATTGCATAATAATTCAAATGAGTAAGATTGATATCACTTTTCCAACTAAATTTGCAAAAGATGCATATTCTAGATTTATTTTTCTTTACCTATAACATCTATGTAAGTATATTGATTTCTTAACTCAGCCGATTCATCCTCTGTAAAGGTTTAATCTATGATTATAGTAATTTATGTAAATTCAACCAATTTAGTAAATCTAAGTACTGGCAAACGGGTTTTAATTCTATCCATGTATATCTCAATATTGTAATATATACATGTATTTATTTATTCTAATTCTGTGCATGCACATGTTTAGTATACAGACTTTATTTTCTAGCTTTTGTATTATTTAAAATTTCTCTAATAGTGGATAGTGATATGTTTGAATCTACACAACAAATTTTAAGAGCTTTTTAAAAATTTAAAATCTTTTTCGAGAAACTACACACAATAACATTGGTATTAGTAATCACAAATATAATACGCTTACCATTTTTGTTCTCCTGCTAATTAAAGAAATTGCATCGTTTTATGCAACATGCACACAAATATAATATAGAAATTGCCCTAAATAGGAGAAAAAACGTATTGAAATTCCAAAATAGAAGTATCATGTTTTTTATTCCCTGAACAAGAGTAATCTGCCAAGTTTGGAAGAAAATGCCATGTTTAAAGCCTAGTAAAGCCACAATTGGCAGAAATTTACTCCTATTTAGGGAATAAAAAACATGATAGTCCTGTTTTGGAATTTCAAAACTTTTTTACTCTTATTTAAGGAATTCTCTCAATGTATAATTGTCCTGCTTTCCTTTTCGGTCGGTCGCGAAATAATTGTCTCCTTTCCTTATTTGGTAAACAAATCTATACAAAACAGTGTCAAACAGTGTCAAACAGTGTCGCTACAGTTCCAAACAGTGTCGCTACAGTGCAAAACAGTATCGCTACAGTGTGAAGTCAACTTTATTTTCTTAATCTGTGTGAAGGTCAAAACATAACGATTATTTCGGAAGGGAAGAAGTATATTGTACATAGATAGCGGGTACATTGTGAGTATTAATTAGAGTATTATTTGGTGGGGCAATGTGGTATGATGTGATATGCACAGACTTATGTGGCGCCTATGTCTTCTTGGAAGGAGATCCATCCGTATTTTCACCGTTGAAGATGAGTGAATGAATAAATCATCTGACTTGGGATTGGTTCTTCTCCCACTGTGCTACCAATACATGACTTTCATGCTAAGGATTTCTATTTAATACCTTGTCCCATCCTTTAAATTATTTTCTACATAACATCTTTAAATAATCTCATTTTCTTTATTCGAAACTAAAATATAATCTCATTTTCTTTATTCGAAACTAAAATTCATATGAGTTTAAATAATTGTCTTTAAATCATAAATTCATAATAATTGTGCAATAATATTCACCTTTAAAATTTAAAACTGTTGAAGGAAATTCTTTATAGTGTGCTATCGTATATATAGAATATGTATTAGGATCACTCTATATAAACTATGTATTATATGGGTCCATTGGCCCGTCTCTGTAAACCCTAATATCTCCCTATTTATAGGGCCTTTGATGATGAAAGTATACACACAATTCTCCCTACAACACGTTATCAGCACGTAGCCCTAAACCTATTTTTTTCTCCCGTTCTCCCTACACTCAATCCGTAGCTGCGCCTCCAGCAGTCCAGCCGCGCCGCCAGCAATCCAGCCGCGCTTGGCCGCCTCCCAACACACCGACCGTCGCCCAGCCTCCCTCTTTCCTAGCCTGCGACTCACCAATTCCCGGATCTCTGTTGAGGTATTTTTTTACTCAAAAATCATTGCAGGATCTTATGTATATGATTTATTGCATCATGTTTATCATTGTGATGAACATCATTGATTTTTTTAGAGATTAAGTTGTCATTTTTTTGAGATCCATTTCTTGCACCCCAAGTGTTTGATGATATGCCTCATCCATTTTTTTTGAGAGATAGATGCAATTTTTTATTATAATTCCGTAATGCTATATGTTATAATCATATAGTTGGAATTAATATCACATTACGCATCCCTCTTCGTTTTTATACATCTATGTGATCATACTTTTTCGTAAAACTAAATGTCATATACATATAGTTGGAATCAAAGATCACACGATTAATCTTATTTTCATGTATTTTATATGATTATATGATTATACTTTCCGTAAAGCTATATGTTAGATACATATAGTTGGAATTAAAATCATATTATGCACTTTTTTAATTATTTTAAACATATTATGTGATTATATTTTTCTGTAATGCTATATGTCACTTACATATAGTTGGAACCATAATCACGTAAGATTAGTATATTTTATGCCTAATCCGTTCATTAGACCAATATTAATACTTTCTATATTAAATTAAAAACACCATATAACATCCTATAAAAATCTCTATGATTTTTTTAAGGAGGTGAATATATATCTCCTCACTTCGATGCATTGTAAAATATTGTCTACAAAGAGACATACTCTCATGATTATTTTTTTTGTGATAAAGAATTTTCACACAAAGAATCGATTTTGTTTATACACAAGTTTTCTGTTTTATATCATATGAACTACACAAGTTCATGAATGTACTCATGATCATGTAATTTTTTTAAGATGGTTGACCATCTCAACTTGTATTTGGCATTTTGGCCTCGGACGGATTTGAGTACCATTATTCAGTTTTCTATATTAATTATTTGTGTGATAAAGAATTTCCACACAAGGCTCTACAAATTTAATTGACCAATCAATTTGACCGGAGTTTGACATTATGCACTCAAATGAACTTGAGTATGTTCAACGCTTATTTTAGAATTCAATGCTACTCCGGCACACTTTGTGAAAAGCAAATCACAAAAGCTTATTTAATTTGATAGAAAAAAATTAACCATTTTTACACATACTTCTCTAGACATATACTAATGCACCAGTATATATTAAATAATTATGTAACTAACTAGCTTTTAGCTGGAGCTAGTGAATGATGTTTATTGTTATTGTGTCTTTTTTTAAATGCAATTACAATATTTTTTGGGGGATAAAGAAACCTCCCAAGAGTTATTTGGATAAAGAAATTTCCAAATAAAAAAAATAGAAAATATAAATTTTAAAGTAAATCCCTTAATATAAGAGGATTAAATGTAATTATCTCGTCAGGATATATATAACTTGAAAATATACTTTTAGTTTTTATCTTCGTAGAATCTCTAAAGAATAAGAGATTCACCGCATGAGAATATAAATTAAGTTTCATGATTGTCTACTATTTTGAGAATAAGAACACTCTCTAATTATTCGGTTTATCCATTTTTTATTTTACTCTTTCATGAGTTTTAAAAATATGAACATTACTAATTCTAATTATACTTTTATTCAAGTCTTACAGTTTGGTATAAATTATATTCGTTTGAGATTTTTAATTAATTTAACATCTCATTGTTCAATCTGAAATTATATTTGAGATGTTTATTCATACGAATTCATTACATGCATATCTTTGAATTTTATTCATAAAAGAATGGATACAAAGGAATATATCCATAAAATAGTAGAATGATATGTACGACATTTGACTTGAGGTCATAGCACTCTAAGGTATATGGGTGACATTTGTAAATTATTGAAATCTGTGACAAATAGGTGATTTAACACATTGTGGTGATGTACAATAAATTAAGGAATATATTTATCGAAGTAATCCTTAAAATCAGTTATGATTGAAACAATTGTACTCATGTCCTCACATAGAATGGAGTCATGTCATGAGTTTGAATCTGGTGACCAGTCTCTTGTCAAAGTAACAAGAATGACCTTATATACCTTTGTGGGGCTTCCCCGAACCCTCACAATGTGAGGACGCCAATGTCCACCAAGGTACCCTCAATGTTTTTTACATAGAAACTCGCTATAAAAATGAGAGAAAATATTAGATTGCATCTAATAAATGCAAAAGAAAATGCATATTTAAGCAGATTATGAGTCAAAGTGGTCATTGACTCATACAAACTTTGAAATAACTCATTTAGGTTATTAATTATTCGAATAAAGGATGATATGAGATCCAACACAATGCAAATTGTTAGTTTTAGCATTGATATATAGAAAAACAATATCAATCTTCTAAAGTACTAGAAGAAA